AAATTTTAATGCTTTTGATTTAATTCGTCAGTCATTTCTTTTTAGTTAGAAAATTTGTGTTGTGTAATGCTTCACATATCCCGGTATCGTAGCATTCCTAGTATCAATTTCAGTTGAGATGGGGTTTCAGTTCATCGGTCAGGTATTATAACAGGGAGCTTTCTATTACTGAGCGGTTGCTTTGCTGCGAGCATAGTGACATTCGTTCATGATTTTTAAATTGTTTAAATTACGTTGTCATTTGATTCATGTGTCTTATCTAATTTTATTTTGATACTGCAAATGTGATGTTAATTTACTGGTTCTGGCAAAGGTGAAAATCCCGCTATTGAGGTATCCCCAATATTTAATTCATACGTTAAGTTGATCGTGTAGTTAGCTGTGTCATGTTCAGTTGAGATGGGGTATTGTGGATTAATATACTGGTGATGCTGGTGTAATTTTTTGGGGGCTGAAGTTTGACGCTCTGTTTGGTTGCTTAGATAATGGAGGAAAACCACTAGTTGTATTGTTTTTTTTCTTTTTTGGCTACTGAATAAAGGCTTAAGAGTTTGTTTGAGGTAGTGCCTTAAAGTTATTGCGGCCTGTTAGTTTTTATAGGTTGAATTCCTCAGAGAATCATTGGTTAGTTGGATATGTTTTTGTGTCATCTTCAGTATAGTGTATATGGTCATTTTGGTATTATTATCAGTTGTAAAGAAGAATGTCTGAATGTTTGAGAAATTGTCTGTGATGTGAGTTTAGCGTATATTCGTGGAATTTAATTTGGAAGTGTTTTGGCTGTGTTTATTGGCCAAATGAAATATTATTACTTGTTTGTTTGTTAAATTATCACTTGCATTGTACATACAAAATGATGAGGACATAACTGTGAGGAGTTCTTCGCAATTGGTAACCATAAGTCCTGGTGTCCTTTTTAGTTTGACATTCTATGCCTACTATGTCTTATATCTTATTTGTTGGATTTCTTGACCCTTAATTGATTAGCCCGCGGATTAGCGGGTGGCAATGTGCTGGGCAGATTAAGGCTGAGTCATTGGACCGAGCAAATGAGCTTGAGGAGATGCAGGAGAAACTGGAGGCTAGAAGAGTTGTGATAGAAAAAATGTCAATGCGTTCTAAGGTTGCTGAGGAGGACGCTAAAAAGCAGGAGGAAAGACTTGGTATGGAAGTTAGATCTCTATTAGTGGCTGGGACAGCTCTTTCTGTCGCTAGGAGGCGATTGCAGGTAATCTTAATTGATGATTTGTTTAGATACCAAATTAATACGGGAATCTCATGATATTATGTCAAATCTTATATGTGCGTGTAGTCACAAAAAGTCTTAAGAACATTATAATCGATTATATTGATTTAAAAAAGATGTGAATCCAACACTTACAGTGGATCATCTGTGGTAAGTTATGTCTATCAAAGGTTATTAAATTTTTAATATTTGGAACTTTTAGGTGAAAACATTCCCTTGGTGAGGTAAGTTTGTTAAGTGAATTGGGAGATAAAATTATCGAATTTGTAAGTTTCCTGCTGTAAGACAGCCATTGCAGCTTTGATTATGATTTGAAAAACATGCAGATGCTAGCAATTAGATCATCAGAGATTCTTCTGGGAATAATGGAGATGAGACCTACATGTAACTTTTCCGATAAATGAAGTATCAAGCGTTAACTCATATTTTATAATTTTGAGTTGGACAATATGATATTTGTGTGTGGAAAATAATTTATATTGTGGTTGTCACTTTGTTATATAGTGAGCTGTTTGCTATATATTTTCTATTTTCTTTTTCATGTCTAGGCTACAATATAGTATCTTCATATGAGTATGATAAAGTCTATGGATATTGTCTTAATGTTCCAGTTTGAAAATAGTGTAACTAGACAGACATGGGCGGTATTGAAGGTTTGGCCATGCTTTTATTGCAGGAATCGAATAAGTTACTTTCTGGAGAAACGGGTTATGGTCATCTCCAAAATTTGAATAAGAAGTTACGATTGAGACAACAATTTATGATTCAACAAGTATCTTTGCTCTATCCCGTAAAGATCTTGGTTGGACCAAAACAAGAGCAAGAACTTGAATCATTTCCAAGTGGTAGTAGATCAGGTGATTTGACAGTTGATATGTATAAATTGATGCCTTAATTTTCAGCTGTCTTCGTTTTTATAGGCTTGATGCCTGAAGTAATAGAAGCAAGAAAACCAATATCTGAAAAGTTACTGCACTTATTTTTTTCTATGTTTGATACGCCTGTTATGTTTGTATGCCATGTAAATTAGTTTTCAGCGTACATAGATTTTAATTACGTTTCCTACCCAGTTCAAAATTGATATTTCTTTATGAAATTAAGATTTCTTCTGATTTTCTAAATGCTTTAGAATTTTTTTTAAGATTCCGATAACATGTTTTTATATATATATATATATATGTTGTATTGATTTGAGATATCTCAAAATACTCTATCTAGGCATACATTTTGCTACTGATAAACAGCTTTTTTTCATCTCTGCTGCCTCACCATTTTGAATTGGGACTAAGAGTTAGTGCTTTCTTACTCATTTTTTATATTTGGTTCTATCAGGGAATGCTGCCGGATCTAAACCTGTTAATCCAGGATCCCTAACAATCTTAGGCCTGCATTTGACTATGCTTCCTTTTACAAAGATGAGTCTTTTTAGTGATAAGAAGGAGGTTCAGAGGTCTGCAACTGCCTTGGGATATATTGCACATGTCTGTTCTTTCTCTTTGCTCAACAGAAAGTTATTGTCTGGTATTTTGTTGTCTTTGTCAGGTGTACCCATATACAGTTCTAATGGTGATGCATATCTGGATATGTTTGCTCTTTTAGTTATTTTAAACAAAGATTATATTAAATGTTTCATCCATTTATGTTAAAATATATTATATTATATTATTTTGTTTTTCATGTTGTTGAGAGTGAGTCCAGTCAGCTCTTTCTATTGTTTGTTCTGCTGGCTGTTGAACCATTTAATTAAACTCAACTTTCTTGGTTTTCTTGCAGGTTGTTTCACTTACAGCTTCTTATTTACAAGTTCCACTGCGTTATCCTTTGCGCTTGGGTGGTTCCCGCTCATACATAAATGATTATGCACCTTCGATAGAGCCTTCATCATCTGATTTGTCATTGAGCACACTGTCCACAAATACAAAGCCTGTAGAATTTCCTCTCTTTTTAGATGGTCAAGACACTACAAGAGCAGCTTATGCTGTATTCTTGTTAAATAAGGTATTTTTTCTTTGTATATTATCTTCGGTTCAATTTTGCGCATGAAGTTGTGCTTGAAAATTGTTGTTTTCTGTGCTCAGTTTAGTACTTTCAAGATAGCTATAGTAAAGCTTTCAGGTTTCCCCCAAAGAAAAAAGAAAAAAAAAAAAAAGGGAAAATTAGGAAAAACGGTGAAAAAATCTGCAGAAGCTAGTGATAGAGAAAATGTAGTATATATGGTTACAAAATTATTGCATTGTGTATATGTACGTTTTTGGTTTTCTAGTTCTAAGATATGAGCTGTTATATAACTGAAAACAGCTAAACTTTTTTGGAATTTGGATTTTAATTCATGTACACTTTTACTGCTGTCATCAGACATGCAGCTCTTTTAGTGGTTATTTAAAGATGAATTTTGATACTAGCTTGATGATGTACTTGTTTGCGATTTGGTTATGTGATGAATTTTTTCAGTGAGAAATTTTTAGTAAGTATAGAAACAATGGTAATATGAGGTAAAATATGTATAAATCTATGTCCTGTCTGAGTTCTTTTGCAATTCTTGTGATTTTGCTTTGCTGGGCCTTGTGGAGTCTGATGATTATTTTAAAAGAGTTTATTGAGGAAGAAGCAGCAGTGTACCTAACAAAAACTCTTTTCATGGAATTTTCTATTGCCCATGTTGACTCTTCAACTTTCCTAGTGAGAACAGGAAAAGGGTGACATAAACGGTAACCTGACTTGTGGATAGGCTAGGGTATTTATAATTTCTCACATGCTTGCTGATTTTGCTTCTTAATCTCGATTCTAACTGCCAAAGCTGGATAACTTACCTGAATAATAAGTTTTACAAATTAGTCTTAGTGGTTCATCAGCAGCCTTTGCATCTGTCTCTGTTACATATATTTTGGAAAGAGAAAAATATTTCCATCCCCCCAAGATTTGGGGCTGAGAGAAGATGCTAGCTCATCATATTGATATAATTGTAGTTTTATTTGCAAATTTCTCATTGAATTATTCATCATTGGCTTTGGTTGATATTTTCTGAGGTATGGTCTTCTACTTGTTAAAGTTTCTTTGGATAACTGGAATATTAGGATTCATCTGCTTCTTAGTATAACCTTATGATATCTGTTTATGACTCCAGGATGTAGAGCAGCTATTGAATTTCATTGGTGTGAAGAGTTTAGGACCACGCCACGTTCTGGCTAATTTGAAGGAGCTTTTAAGGACCATACAGTCTGCAGAATATATAGATACATGATACGGTCAACTGGTATTGACTGTAAGTTAGGAACCTCTCTGTAAATGTTTACTTGTATTCTTACACGGGTGCAAATTTTTCATGAGCACCATTTAGTACAGCAAATATTTCTCATTCTCAATTCTTTCTCTAGAGTATATTGTTTGGATTTGCTACCAAATGTTAAGTCTTGTGAATCACATGTTTGAAAATTTCTGTCGAAATTTTAATTCATGGCAGGCAGATTGGGGTGTACAAGTACTCTGAAATATTTTTACTTATTTATTATTTTATTTAACACACATAAATGCCCCATCTTTGTTGATTTCACTGAATTCGAAACTAGCTTGATCTTATGCTGAGAACCACTCTCAAAACTCAACAAAACAGTAAAATAATAACAGCCAAGAAATATGAAGAAAATAGATATGCGTATTGATACTTAACAAACTGATAACAATGGCAGCACGCAACAAAATATACCTAATGCAACAGCCCTAAAGGACAAAATCAAAATATGAAAGGAAAAACAAATCAAAATATGAAAGGAAAAACAATGCTGGACTTTGAGGGCCATAATTGCTAACTTTGAAGGTTAGCTCCTCCCAAATTTCCCTATATTCTTTTCTCTCATAATCTGCTCTCTCCTTCTCTTTTTATCCTCCAACTCTCTCTCTCTCTCTCTCTCTCTCTCTAACTAAATTCCTTTGTTGTCCCAACTCTCAATCGCCACCTGTCTTAGCCTAAACCCATGGAAGTTTCTTGCCAACATCACCAAAATCCCATACTTCACAACCTTATGTTTCCTAGTCTCATCATTACCCTCCCCAAGCAATACCGCCTTGTCCTCAAGGTGGGAATAGGGAAATTGTTTACTAGACACCATCCCGCTTCTCCATTCCTTCATCGCCCTCTTCTTCCTTACTAAATTCTTCCTCCACTTCTGTCATTAATCGGAAAGGGGTTGTTCGCAGTTGAGGGATGTTGGAATCGATTGTTCAAAGTGCTTCCAAGCTTGTGCTTCGACAATCGGCGGTTGGCATGGAATTAGAATGCACCTCCTCCTAAGATCGGTGTGCTGGCGTTAGGTTGGCTGGATATTTTGGACTTTCGGGGAGAAGGGAAGATTTAGAGTCGTGCGATTTGTTTTTGTTATAAGGGAATTGGACCCTTGACCAGAATTCCTCTGACCCGGTTCCTTGCCCAAGCCCCAAGTCTGCTAGCCCATGTCCTCTCCCAGGCCCAATTTCAGTTTGTCCATGCCCATGCCCAGTTATAAATGTTTTCCCATGTTTGTCTAGCCCAAATTTTAAGTCCTCCAAGGCCTAATTTTTCTTCTCTATTTGTTGGGCCAAATCTAATAAGTGAACTAAATTATCAAGTTAGGCTAACCTGATTTCGGCCTGAATTTTTGACTTCAACCCATTAAGAAGGGCAACCATTAAAACTTACTCTTTCACTTCAACCAAAGGAGCAGAGATCACTTCAAACCTCTGACGATATTCCTCCACTGTGCCTAGCAATCGGATTCCCATCAGTGCTTCGTATGGACTTCCCTCATGTGACCCACTGAAATGGTGAAGCAACGACAATTTAAAGGTTGCCCAAGAAGTTATCGGAGCTCGAATTTTCATCCATTGATACCAATTTATGGCGTCGTCGTCCGTACACATGGTCGCTACTGCGAGACGATCTGGTTCAGTGATTCCATTGACTAAAAAATATTGTTCGGCTTGGAATATCTACCTGTGAGGATCCTCGTCGGAAAAAATGGGAAGCTCTAGTTTCCGGCCACCCAAATCGTTCCAACCTAGCCCACCAGTGTTCGAGTTTTCTCCTTCAGCTCGGTGCCCCATATTTCGTCCCTGTTCGTTTTCTCTCGACCTCTATCTTTTCAACGAAATTTCTCTGCCTCTTCTTCTCTCGTCTTCTTCATCGTTTCTTCTCATCCATTCTCGCATCTCCATTAAACCATCCAGAATAGCACCCATATCTCTCCCAAGTTTTGACATTTCCCTCTCAACATTTTCTATTCTAACTTCCATTCTTGTACCAACCATCCCATGACCGAACTGCTCTGATACCATTTGATGAGAACCCACACCCAAAGCTCAACAAAACAGTAAAATAACAACAGCCAATAGCCAAGAAATAGGAAGAAAATAGATATGTGTATTGATACTCAACAAACTGATAACAATGGCAGCATACAACAAAATATACCCAGCACATCAACCCAAAAGGACAAAATCAAAATATGAAAGGAAAAACAATGTTGGACTTTGAGGGCCAGCTCCTCCCTAATTGCTAACTTCGAGGGTTAGCTCCTCCCAAATTTCTCTATATTCTTCTCTCCCCTAATCTGCTCTCTCCCTCTCTTTTTGTTCTCCAGCTCTCCCTCTCTCTCTCTCCCTAACTGAATTCCTTTGCTGTCCCAACCCTCAATCGTCACTTGTCCTAGCCTAAACCCATGGAAGTTTCTTGCCAACATCACCAAAATCCCCTACTTCACGACCTTATGTTTCCTACAATAGACCAGCACACTAAGGGTCTCATCATCTTATAACCCTAATAGGCAAGATTAGGGCATTGCCTAAATGTGCAAGATAAACTGTGATCCATCATTTTGCAGTCCTGAGGGGTGTTGAGTTTCCGAACTTCATTATCGCGTATATATGAATGTGACATTGATCTCTCATAATCTTACGGGTTTTGAGTTAAATTGGGACACTATTTATTAAACATCGATATGGAGCAATCTAATAAACTTGATAGGAAAGTTGAATGCAGTTTATTTTTGTATCATTAATTTAAAAGATTAAATGACTATTAATATGTTCATTAATTCTTACGAGTATTTTCTTTTTAATTAATGTCATTAGTTGTTATACTAATAGCATTTACGAGAAGGAAACGTTGAATTTTTCCATTTGATTTTATTTTATCCTTCGACATTGATTTACAAAAATAAACATGGAATGTAAATTAAATAATTTTCATTTAAAATAAAATATTTATTATAGAAAATCTATTCAGGTAATAGGGCATATCCTCCCATCTAGAACAATCTGATCACCAAACGCCTCAGCAAGCATAAGGGCAGATGCATGTTACTGAGGGGAAAATAATAATGAAAAAATAGGCAACTATTGTTTTGTAATACAGCATATAATATATTTTGGAGTAATATTACACATTCAACATTTCCTATACAATATGATGTGACAAAAGATGATTAGATGAAAGTTTATTTTTAATCTAAAATCAATCAATTATCTTTTATCACATCTTGTTGTATGAGAAATATTGTATAAAAATGTTATATGTGTAGTATTATATAATGAGTTTCTACTTTCTAAAATTATCCTCATACTTTGTCAACTAACTAATAAAAGAAATCAAGAATTTAGATTTTGAGTAATACTACATCAACAATCATTTCTTACAAACTTTCTCTCACAATCCTAACGTGATAACTTGCAATTTGTCAGTTTGTAATTAATTAGTGGAACCTATGTAAAACTTGTTATGAACTGACTAATTACGAGTTACCACATCAGGGTTGTGAGAGAAGGTTATTGGTGTAATATTACTCGTAACACATAGATGGGCATGTGATTTGTTGAAAATATATAACCACAAAATATATTATTTCCAATAAAGTACACGTTAGTAATACAATTTACTTATGAAAAATTAAAATATTATACTATATACTTATTAAAAATTGACGAATTAATGATGTCATGTGAAAAAAATTACATACAAACGATATCGTCAACGTGTTGTTAATACTAGATAACAAAAATTTTCAATACTATTTTTTTTTTTTCTTTTTAGGTCATTTCTAATATTTGTCAAAAAATTGAAGCCCATCCTTGTTTCCGCCCTCGCATAAATTCTCCAAAATAGAATTTTTATATGCAATTGATTTTGTTGAAACTTTTATCCCTAGTTAGGTAGTTTTTCCTAAACCCTAATGACTTCGATTTTCTAAACCTAGCAAAAATAATATTATTTACCATTTTTCTTGTGTCACAACCCACAAACTCTTAAAGGAATCGAATAAGTTACTTTCTGGAGAAAGGGTTATGGTCATCTCCAAATTTGAATAAGAAGTTACGATTGAGACAACAATTTATTATCAACGTATCTTTGCTCTATCCCGTAAAGATCTTGGTTGGACCAAACAAGAGCAAGAACTTGAATCATTTCCAAGTGGTAGTAGATCAGGTGATTTGACATGTGATATGTATAAATATGCCTTAATTTTCAGCTGTCTTCGTTTTTTAGCTTGATGCCTGAAGTATAGAAGCAAGAAAACCAATATCTGAAAAGTTACTGCACTTATTTTTTTCTATTTTGATACACCTGTTATGTTGCATCATGTATTGTTTTCAGCATACATAGATTTAATTACGTTTCCTACCCAGTTCAAAATTGATATTTCTTTATGAATTAAGATTTCTTCTGATTTCTAAATGCTTTAGAATTTTTTTTAAGATTCCATAACATGTTTATATATATATATATATGTTGTATTGATTTGGATATCTCAAAATACTCACTAGGCATCATTTTGCTACTGATAAAGCTTTTTTATCTCTGCTGCCTCACCATTTTGAATTGGACTAAGAGTTAGTGCTTTCACTCATTTTTATCTATTGTTCTATAATATATATATATATATATATATATATATATATATATATATATATATTATGTTGTATGATTTGAGATATCTCAAAATACTCTATCTAGGCATGCATTTTGCTACTGATAAACAGCTTTTTTTCATCTCTGCTGCCTCACCATTTGAATTGGGACTAAGAGTTAGTGCTTTCTTACTCATTTTTATATTTGGTTCTATCAGGGAATGCTGCCGGATCTAAACCTGTTAATCCAGGATCCCTAACAATCTCAGGCCTGCATTTGACTATGCTTCCTTTACAAAGATGAGTCTTTTGATGATAAGAAGGAGGTTCAGAGGTCTGCAACTACCTTGGGATATATTGCACATGTCTGTTCTTTCTCTTTGCTCAACAGAAAGTTATTGTCTGGTATTTTGTTGTCTTTTGTAGGTGTACCCATTACAGTTCTAATGGTGATGCATACTGATATGTTTGCTCTTTAGTTATTTTAACAAAGATTATATAAATGTTTCATCCATTTATGTTAAAATATATTATATTATATTATTTTGTTTTTCATGTTGTTGAGGTGAGTCCAGTCAGCTCTTCTATCTATTGTTTTTCTGCTGGCTGTTGAACCATTTAATTAAACTCAACTTTCTTGGTTTTCTTGCAGGTTGTTTCACTTCAGCTTCTTATTAAAGTTCACTGCGTATCCTTTGCGCTTGGGTGGTTCCCACTCATACATAAATGATTATGCACCTCGATAGAGCCTTCATCATCGATTTGTCATTGAGCACACTGTCCACAAATACAAAGCCTGTAAATTTCCTCTCTTTTTAGATGGTCAAGACACTACAAGAGCAGCTTATGCTGTATTCTTGTTAAATAAGGTATTTTTTCTTTGTATATTATCTTCGGTTCAATTTTGCCATGAAGTTGTGCTTGAAAATTGTTGTTTTCTGTGCTCAGTTTAGTACTTTCAAGATAGCTATAGTAAAGCTTTCAGTGTTCCCCAAAGAAAAAAGAAAAAAAAAAAAAGGAAAATTAGGAAAAACGGTGAAAAAATCTGCAGAAGCTAGTGATAGAGAAAATGTAGTATATATGTTACAAAATTATTGCATTGTGTATATGTACGTTTTGGTTCTAGTTCTAAGATATGAGCTGTTATATAACTGAAAACAGCTAACTTTTTGGAATTTGATTTTAATTCATGTACACTTTTACTGCTGTCATCAGACATGCAGCTCTTAGTGGTTATTTAGATGAATTTTGATACTAGCTTGATGAGTACTTGTTGCGATTTGGTTATGTGATGAATTTTTTCAGTGAGAAATTTTTAGTAAGTATAGAAACAATGGTAATATGAGTAAATATGTATAAATCTATGTCCTGTCTGAGTTCTTTTGCAATTCTTGTGATTTTGCTTTGCTGGGCCTTGTGGAGTCTGATGATTATTTAAAAGAGTTTATTGAGGAAGAAGCAGCAGTGTACCTAACAAAAATTCTTTTCATGGAATTTCTATTGCCCATGTTGACTCTTCAACTTTCCTAGTGAGAACAGGAAAAGGGTGACATAAACGGTAACCTGACTTGTGGATAGGCTAGGGTATTTATAATTTCTCACATGCTTGCTGATTTTGCTTCTTAATCTCGATTCTAACTGCCAAAGCTGGATAACTTACCTGAATAATAAGTTTTACAAATTAGTCTTAGTGGTTCTCAGCAGCCTTTGCATCTGTCTCTGTTACATATATTTTGGAAAGAGAAAATATTTCCATCCCCCCAGATTTGGGGCTGAGAGAAATGCTAGCTCATCATATTCATATAATTGTAGTTTTATTTGCAAATTTCTCATTGAATTATTCATCATTGGCTTTGGTTGATATTTTCTGAGGTAGGTCTTCTACTGTTAAGTTTCTTTGGATAACTGGAATATTAGGATTCATCTGCTTCTTAGTATACCTTAGATATCTGTTTATGATCCAGGATGTAGAGCAGCTATTGAATTTCATTGGTGTGAAGAGTTTAGGACCACGCCACGTTCTGGCTAATTTGAAGGAGCTTTAAGGACCTACGTCTGCAGAATATAATACATGATACGGTCAACTGGTATTGACTGTAAGTTGGAACCTCTCTGTAAATGTTTACTTGTATTCTTACACGGGTGCAAATTTTTCATGAGCACCATTTAGTACAGCAATATTTCTCATTCTCAATTCTTTCTCTAGAGTATATTGTTTGGATTTGCTACCAAATGTTAAGTCTTGTGAATCACATGTTTGAAAATTTCTGTCGAAATTTTAATTCATGGCGGCAGATTGGGGTGTACAAGTACTCTAAATATTTTTACTTATTTATTATTTTTTTAACACACATAAATGCCCCATCTTTGTTGATTTCACGATTGAAACTAGCTTGATCTTATGCTGAGACCACTCTCAAAACTCAACAAAACAGTAAAATATAACAGCCAAGAATATGAAGAAAAATAGATATGGTATTGATACTTACAAACTGATAACAATGGAGCACGCAACAAAATTACCTAATGCACACCCTAAAGGACAAAATCAAAATATGAAAGGAAAAACAAATCAATATAAAGAAAAACAATGCTGGACTTTGAGGGCCATAATTGCTAACTTGAAGTTAGCTCCTCAATTTCCCTATATTCTTTTCTCTCATATCTGCTCTCTCTTCTCTTTTTATCTCCACTCTCTCTCTCTCTCTCTCTCTCTCTAACTAAATTCCTTTGTGTCCCAACTCTCAATCGCACCTGTCTTACCTAAACCCATGGAAGTTTCTTGCCAACACACCAAAATCCCATACTTCACAACCTTATGTTTTCCAGTCTCATCATTACCCTCCCCAAGCAATACCACCTTGTCCTCAAGGTGGGAATAGGGAAATTGTTTACTACACCATCCGCTTCTCATTCCTTCATCGCCCTCTCTCCTTACTAAATCTTCCCACTTCTGTCATTAATCGGAAAGGGGTTGTTCGTCAGTTGAGGGATGTTGGAATCGATTGTTCAAGTGCTTCCAGCTTGTGCTTCGCAAGGGCGTTGGCATGGAATTAGAATGCACCTCCTCCTAAGATCGGTTGCTGGCGTTAGGTTGGCTGGATATTTTGGACTTTCGGGAGAAGGAAGATTTAGAGTCTGCGATTTGTTTTGTTATAAGGGAATTGGACCCTTGACCAAATTCCTCTGACCCGTTCCTTGCCCAAGCCCCAAGTCTGCTAGCCCATGTCCTCTCCAGCCCAATTTCAGTTTGTCCATGCCATGCCCATTATAATTGTTTCCCTGTTTGTCTAGCCCAAATTTTAAGTCCTCCAAGGCCAATTTTTCTTCTCTATTTGTTGGGCCAAATCTAATAAGTGAACTAAATTATCAGTTGGCTAACCTGATTTGGCCGAATTTTTGATTTCAACCCATTAAAAGGGCAACCATTAAAACTTCTCTTTCCTTCAACCAAAGGAGCAGAGATCACTTCAAACCTCTGACGATATTCCTCCACTGTGCCTAGCAATCGGATTCCCTCAGTGCTTCGTATGATCTTCCTCATTATAGAGTTTAATGTGATTAATGATGTACAAACTACAAAGCATGAAGAACAAACCTTACCTAGCAAATAACAACCAATCTCCCGTCATAACGACGTTAACAACAAACTTTCCACGTCCTGTCCCGTTTCGTTCTTTCTCCAGCGTGGACTCCAACCAACAAATAAAATCCCCAAATTTTCAATTTTCTTTCCTTGCCAAACCCATTTCCCCGAGAATATTTATTTTAAACCAAACAGAAAACAAAGAATCACTCCATGAACGGAACGTCAAGTCGGCGTTGAGTTTAGGACGATGAGGTCGGCCCATGATCTGCTCTTGAACTCTTGCTCTTCTTCGATTCGTCATGGACCAACAACAACAACAGCCGTCTCCTCTCTCTCCTTCTTCTTCAGCAGCGAAAGTTGTCGATTCAGAGAAGGTCAAAGTCATCGAATGGGAAGATTTCGAGCAAGAACTCGCCCGATTGTGGAGTCTGTCCTCAGCTCTCCAACAAGCTAAGGACAAAAAGCAATCTCTTCAAGACAAGCTCAACTCTATTATTCAGGTGTGGTTTTTTTTTTTTTTCTTTTTTTAAATTTTAATGCTTTTGATTTAATTCGTCAGTCATTTCTTTTTAGTTAGAAAATTTGTGTTGTGTAATGCTTCACATATCCCGGTATCGTAGCATTCCTAGTATCAATTTCAGTTGAGATGGGGTTTCAGTTCATCGGTCAGGTATTATAACAGGGAGCTTTCTATTACTGAGCGGTTGCTTTGCTGCGAGCATAGTGACATTCGTTCATGATTTTTAAATTGTTTAAATTACGTTGTCATTTGATTCATGTGTCTTATCTAATTTTATTTTGATACTGCAAATGTGATGTTAATTTACTGGTTCTGGCAAAGGTGAAAATCCCGCTATTGAGGTATCCCCAATATTTAATTCATACGTTAAGTTGATCGTGTAGTTAGCTGTGTCATGTTCAGTTGAGATGGGGTATTGTGGATTAATATACTGGTGATGCTGGTGTAATTTTTTGGGGGCTGAAGTTTGACGCTCTGTTTGGTTGCTTAGATAATGGAGGAAAACCACTAGTTGTATTGTTTTTTTTCTTTTTTGGCTACTGAATAAAGGCTTAAGAGTTTGTTTGAGGTAGTGCCTTAAAGTTATTGCGGCCTGTTAGTTTTTATAGGTTGAATTCCTCAGAGAATCATTGGTTAGTTGGATATGTTTTTGTGTCATCTTCAGTATAGTGTATATGGTCATTTTGGTATTATTATCAGTTGTAAAGAAGAATGTCTGAATGTTTGAGAAATTGTCTGTGATGTGAGTTTAGCGTATATTCGTGGAATTTAATTTGGAAGTGTTTTGGCTGTGTTTATTGGCCAAATGAAATATTATTACTTGTTTGTTTGTTAAATTATCACTTGCATTGTACATACAAAATGATGAGGACATAACTGTGAGGAGTTCTTCGCAATTGGTAACCATAAGTCCTGGTGTCCTTTTTAGTTTGACATTCTATGCCTACTATGTCTTATATCTTATTTGTTGGATTTCTTGACCCTTAATTGATTAGCCCGCGGATTAGCGGGTGGCAATGTGCTGGGCAGATTAAGGCTGAGTCATTGGACCGAGCAAATGAGCTTGAGGAGATGCAGGAGAAACTGGAGGCTAGAAGAGTTGTGATAGAAAAAATGTCAATGCGTTCTAAGGTTGCTGAGGAGGACGCTAAAAAGCAGGAGGAAAGACTTGGTATGGAAGTTAGATCTCTATTAGTGGCTGGGACAGCTCTTTCTGTCGCTAGGAGGCGATTGCAGGTAATCTTAATTGATGATTTGTTTAGATACCAAATTAATACGGGAATCTCATGATATTATGTCAAATCTTATATGTGCGTGTAGTCACAAAAAGTCTTAAGAACATTATAATCGATTATATTGATTTAAAAAAGATGTGAATCCAACACTTACAGTGGATCATCTGTGGTAAGTTATGTCTATCAAAGGTTATTAAATTTTTAATATTTGGAACTTTTAGGTGAAAACATTCCCTTGGTGAGGTAAGTTTGTTAAGTGAATTGGGAGATAAAATTATCGAATTTGTAAGTTTCCTGCTGTAAGACAGCCATTGCAGCTTTGATTATGATTTGAAAAACATGCAGATGCTAGCAATTAGATCATCAGAGATTCTTCTGGGAATAATGGAGATGAGACCTACATGTAACTTTTCCGATAAATGAAGTATCAAGCGTTAACTCATATTTTATAATTTTGAGTTGGACAATATGATATTTGTGTGTGGAAAATAATTTATATTGTGGTTGTCACTTTGTTATATAGTGAGCTGTTTGCTATATATTTTCTATTTTCTTTTTCATGTCTAGGCTACAATATAGTATCTTCATATGAGTATGATAAAGTCTATGGATATTGTCTTAATGTTCCAGTTTGAAAATAGTGTAACTAGACAGACATGGGCGGTATTGAAGGTTTGGCCATGCTTTTATTGCAGGAATCGAATAAGTTACTTTCTGGAGAAACGGGTTATGGTCATCTCCAAAATTTGAATAAGAAGTTACGATTGAGACAACAATTTATGATTCAACAAGTATCTTTGCTCTATCCCGTAAAGATCTTGGTTGGACCAAAACAAGAGCAAGAACTTGAATCATTTCCAAGTGGTAGTAGATCAGGTGATTTGACAGTTGATATGTATAAATTGATGCCTTAATTTTCAGCTGTCTTCGTTTTTATAGGCTTGATGCCTGAAGTAATAGAAGCAAGAAAACCAATATCTGAAAAGTTACTGCACTTATTTTTTTCTATTTTTGATACACCTGTTATGTTTGCATGCCATGTAAATTAGTTTTCAGCATACATAGATTTTAATTACGTTTCCTACCCAGTTCAAAATTGATATTTCTTTATGAAATTAAGATTTCTTCTGATTTTCTAAATGCTTTAGAATTTTTTTTAAGATTCCGATAACATGTTTTTATATATATATATATATATGTTGTATTGATTTGAGATATCTCAAAATACTCTATCTAGGCATGCATTTTGCTACTGATAAACAGCTTTTTTTCATCTCTGCTGCCTCACCATTTTGAATTGGGACTAAGAGTTAGTGCTTTCTTACTCATTTTTTATATTTGGTTCTATCAGGGAATGCTGCCGGATCTAAACCTGTTAATCCAGGATCCCTAACAATCTTAGGCCTGCATTTGACTATGCTTCCTTTTACAAAGATGAGTCTTTTTAGTGATAAGAAGGAGGTTCAGAGGTCTGCAACTGCCTTGGGATATATTGCACATGTCTGTTCTTTCTCTTTGCTCAACAGAAAGTTATTGTCTGGTATTTTGTTGTCTTTGTCAGGTGTACCCATATACAGTTCTAATGGTGATGCATATCTGGATATGTTTGCTCTTTTAGTTATTTTAAACAAAGATTATATTAAATGTTTCATCCATTTATGTTAAAATATATTATATTATATTATTTTGTTTTTCATGTTGTTGAGAGTGAGTCCAGTCAGCTCTTTCTATTGTTTGTTCTGCTGGCTGTTGAACCATTTAATTAAACTCAACTTTCTTGGTTTTCTTGCAGGTTGTTTCACTTACAGCTTCTTATTTACAAGTTCCACTGCGTTATCCTTTGCGCTTGGGTGGTTCCCGCTCATACATAAATGATTATGCACCTTCGATAGAGCCTTCATCATCTGATTTGTCATTGAGCACACTGTCCACAAATACAAAGCCTGTAGAATTTCCTCTCTTTTTAGATGGTCAAGACACTACAAGAGCAGCTTATGCTGTATTCTTGTTAAATAAGGTATTTTTTCTTTGTATATTATCTTCGGTTCAATTTTGCGCATGAAGTTGTGCTTGAAAATTGTTGTTTTCTGTGCTCAGTTTAGTACTTTCAAGATAGCTATAGTAAAGCTTTCAGGTTTCCCCAAGAAAAAAGAAAAAAAAAAAAAAGGGAAAATTAGGAAAAACGGTGAAAAAATCTGCAGAAGCTAGTGATAGAGAAAATGTAGTATATATGGTTACAAAATTATTGCATTGTGTATATGTACGTTTTTGGTTTTCTAGTTCTAAGATATGAGCTGTTATATAACTGAAAACAGCTAAACTTTTTTGGAATTTGGATTTTAATTCATGTACACTTTTACTGCTGTCATCAGACATGCAGCTCTTTTAGTGGTTATTTAAAGATGAATTTTGATACTAGCTTGATGATGTACTTGTTTGCGATTTGGTTATGTGATGAATTTTTTCAGTGAGAAATTTTTAGTAAGTATAGAAACAATGGTAATATGAGGTAAAATATGTATAAATCTATGTCCTGTCTGAGTTCTTTTGCAATTCTTGTGATTTTGCTTTGCTGGGCCTTGTGGAGTCTGATGATTATTTTAAAAGAGTTTATTGAGGAAGAAGCAGCAGTGTACCTAACAAAAACTCTTTTCATGGAATTTTCTATTGCCCATGTTGACTCTTCAACTTTCCTAGTGAGAACAGGAAAAGGGTGACATAAACGGTAACCTGACTTGTGGATAGGCTAGGGTATTTATAATTTCTCACATGCTTGCTGATTTTGCTTCTTAATCTCGATTCTAACTGCCAAAGCTGGATAACTTACCTGAATAATAAGTTTTACAAATTAGTCTTAGTGGTTCATCAGCAGCCTTTGCATCTGTCTCTGTTACATATATTTTGGAAAGAGAAAAATATTTCCATCCCCCCAAGATTTGGGGCTGAGAGAAGATGCTAGCTCATCATATTGATATAATTGTAGTTTTATTTGCAAATTTCTCATTGAATTATTCATCATTGGCTTTGGTTGATATTTTCTGAGGTATGGTCTTCTACTTGTTAAAGTTTCTTTGGATAACTGGAATATTAGGATTCATCTGCTTCTTAGTATAACCTTACGATATCTGTTTATGATTCCAGGATGTAGAGCAGCTATTGAATTTCATTGGTGTGAAGAGTTTAGGACCACGCCACGTTCTGGCTAATTTGAAGGAGCTTTTAAGGACCATACAGTCTGCAGAATATATAGATACATGATACGGTCAACTGGTATTGACTGTAAGTTAGGAACCTCTCTGTAAATGTTTACTTGTATTCTTACACGGGTGCAAATTTTTCATGAGCACCATTTAGTACAGCAAATATTTCTCATTCTCAATTCTTTCTCTAGAGTATATTGTTTGGATTTACTACCAAAGGTTAAGTCTTGTGAATCACATGTTTGAAAATTTCTGTCGAAATTTTAATTCATGGCCGGCAGATTGGGGTGTACAAGTACTCTGAAATATTTTTACTTATTTATTATTTTGTTTAACACACATAAATGCCCCATCTTTGTTGAATTCACTGAATTTGAAACTAGCTTGATCTTATGCTGAGACCCACTCTCAAAACTCAACAAAACAGTAAAATAATAACAGTCAAGAAATAGGAAGAAAATAGATATGTATATTGATACTTAACCAACTGATAACAATGGCAGCACACAGCAAAATGTACCCTATGCATCAACCTTAAAGGACAAAATCAAAATATGAAAGGAAAAACAATGTTAGACTTTGAGGGCTAGCTCCTCTGTAATTGCTAACTTCGAGGGTTAGCTCTTCTCAAATTTCCCTATATTCTTTTTTCCCTCTCTTTCTCTTTTTATCTTCTCTCTCTCTCTCTCCCCCTAACTAAATTCCTTTGCTGTCCCAACTCTCAATCGCTACCTGTCCTAACCTAAACCCATGGAAGTTTCTTGCCAACATCACCAAAATCCCATACTTCACAACCTTATGTTTCCTACAATAGACTAGCACACTAAGGGTCTCATCATTACCCTCCCCAAGCAATACCACCTTGTCCTCAAGGTGGGAATAGGGAAATTGTTTACTCGACATCATCCTGCTCCTCCATTCCTTCATCGCCCCCTTCTTCCTTACTAAATTCTTTCTCCACTTCTGTCATTCATTGGAAAGGGGTTGTTCGTACTTGAGGGATGTTGGAATCTATTGTTCAAAGTGCTTCCAAGCTTGTGCTCCGGCAACCGGCGGTTGGCATGGAATTAGAATGCACCTCCTCCTAAGATCGGCGTGTCGGCGTTAGGTTGGCTGGATATTTTGGACTTTCGGGGAGAAGGGAAGATTTAGAGTCGTGCGATTTGTTTTTGTTATAAGGGAATTGGACCCTTGACCCGAATTCCTCTGACCCGATTCCTTGCCCAAGCCCCAAGTCTGCTAGCCCATGTCCTCTCCCAAGTCCAATTTCAGTTTGTCCATGCCCATGCCCAATTATAATTGTTTTCCCATGTTTGTCTAGCCCAAATTTTAAGTCCTCCAAGGCCCAATTTTTCTTNCATACTTCACAACCTTATGTTTCCTAGTCTCATCATTACCCTCCCCAAGCAATACCGCCTTGTCCTCAAGGTGGGAATAGGGAAATTGTTTACTAGACACCATCCCGCTTCTCCATTCCTTCATCGCCCTCTTCTTCCTTACTAAATTCTTCCTCCACTTCTGTCATTAATCGGAAAGGGGTTGTTCGCAGTTGAGGGATGTTGGAATCGATTGTTCAAAGTGCTTCCAAGCTTGTGCTTCGACAATCGGCGGTTGGCATGGAATTAGAATGCACCTCCTCCTAAGATCGGTGTGCTGGCGTTAGGTTGGCTGGATATTTTGGACTTTCGGGGAGAAGGGAAGATTTAGAGTCGTGCGATTTGTTTTTGTTATAAGGGAATTGGACCCTTGACCTGAATTCCTCTGACCCGGTTCCTTGCCCAAGCCCCAAGTCTGCTAGCCCATGTCCTCTCCCAGGCCCAATTTCAGTTTGTCCATGCCCATGCCCAGTTATAAATGTTTTCCCATGTTTGTCTAGCCCAAATTTTAAGTCCTCCAAGGCCTAATTTTTCTTCTCTATTTGTTGGGCCAAATCTAATAAGTGAACTAAATTATCAAGTTAGGCTAACCTGATTTCGGCCTGAATTTTTGACTTCAACCCATTAAGAAGGGCAACCATTAAAACTTACTCTTTCACTTCAACCAAAGGAGCAGAGATCACTTCAAACCTCTGACGATATTCCTCCACTGTGCCTAGCAATCGGATTCCCATCAGTGCTTCGTATGGACTTCCCTCATGTGACCCACTGAAATGGTGAAGCAACGACAATTTAAAGGTTGCCCAAGAAGTTATCGGAGCTCGAATTTTCATCCATTGATACCAATTTATGGCGTCGTCGTCCGTACACATGGTCGCTACTGCGAGACGATCTGGTTCAGTGATTCCATTGACTAAAAAATATTGTTCGGCTTGGAATATCTACCTGTGAGGATCCTCGTCGGAAAAAATGGGAAGCTCTAGTTTCCGGCCACCCAAATCGTTCCAACCTAGCCCACCAGTGTTCGAGTTTTCTCCTTCAGCTCGGTGCCCCATATTTCGTCCCTGTTCGTTTTCTCTCGACCTCTATCTTTTCAACGAAATTTCTCTGCCTCTTCTTCTCTCGTCTTCTTCATCGTTTCTTCTCATCCATTCTCGCATCTCCATTAAACCATCCAGAATAGCACCCATATCTCTCCCAAGTTTTGACATTTCCCTCTCAACATTTTCTATTCTAACTTCCATTCTTGTACCAACCATCCCATGACCGAACTGCTCTGATACCATTTGATGAGAACCCACACCCAAAGCTCAACAAAACAGTAAAATAACAACAGCCAATAGCCAAGAAATAGGAAGAAAATAGATATGTGTATTGATACTCAACAAACTGATAACAATGGCAGCATACAACAAAATATACCCAGCACATCAACCCAAAAGGACAAAATCAAAATATGAAAGGAAAAACAATGTTGGACTTTGAGGGCCAGCTCCTCCCTAATTGCTAACTTCGAGGGTTAGCTCCTCCCAAATTTCTCTATATTCTTCTCTCCCCTAATCTGCTCTCTCCCTCTCTTTTTGTTCTCCAGCTCTCCCTCTCTCTCTCTCCCTAACTGAATTCCTTTGCTGTCCCAACCCTCAATCGTCACTTGTCCTAGCCTAAACCCATGGAAGTTTCTTGCCAACATCACCAAAATCCCCTACTTCACGACCTTATGTTTCCTACAATAGACCAGCACACTAAGGGTCTCATCATCTTATAACCCTAATAGGCAAGATTAGGGCATTGCCTAAATGTGCAAGATAAACTGTGATCCATCATTTTGCAGTCCTGAGGGGTGTTGAGTTTCCGAACTTCATTATCGCGTATATATGAATGTGACATTGATCTCTCATTATCTTACGGGTTTTGAGTTAAATTGGGACACTATTTATTAAACATCGATATACAGCAATCTAATAAACTTGATACTAAGGTTGAATGCAGTTTATTTTTTTATCATTAATTTAAAAGATTAAATGACTATTAATATGTTCATTAATTCTTACAAGTATTTTCTTTTTAATTAATGTCATTAGTTGTTATACTAATAGCATTTACGAGAAGGAAACGTTGAATTTTTCCATTTGATTTTATTTTATCCTTCGACATCGATTTACAAAAATAAACATGGAATGTAAATTAAATAACTTTCATTTAAAATCAAATATTTATTATAGAAAATCTATTCAGGTAATAGGGCATATCCTCCTATCTAGAACAATCTGATCACCAAATGCCTTAGCAAGAATAAGGGCAGATGCATGTTACTGAGGGGAAAATAATAATGAAAAAATAGGCAACTATTGTTTTGTAATACAGCATATAATATATTTTGGAGTAATATTACACATTCAACATTTCCTATACAATATGATGTGACAAAAGATGATTAGATGAAAGTTTATTTTTAATCTAAAATCAATCAATTATCTTTTATCACATCTTGTTGTATGAGAAATATTGTATAAAAATGTTATATGTGTAGTATTATATAATGAGTTTCTACTTTCTAAAATTATCCTCATACTTTGTCAACTAACTAATAAAAGAAATCAAGAATTTAGATTTTGAGTAATACTACATCAACAATTATTTCTTACAAACTTTCTCTCACAACCCTAACGTGATAACTTGCAATTTGTCAGTTTGTAATTAATTAGTGGAACCTATGTAAAACTTGTTATGAACTGACTAATTACGAGTTACCACATCAGGGTTGTGAGAGAAGGTTATTGGTGTAATATTACTCGTAACACATAGATGGGCATGTGATTTGTTGAAAATATATAACCACAAAATATATTATTTCCAATAAAGTACACGTTAGTAATACAATTTACTTATGAAAAATTAAAATATTATACTATATACTTATTAACAATTGACGAATTAATGATGTCATGTGAAAAAAATTACATACAAACGATATCGTCAACGTGTTGTTAATACTAGATAACAAAAATTTTCAATACTATTTTTTTTTTCTTTTAAGGTCATTTCTAATATTTGTCAAAAAATTGAAGCCCATCCTTGTTTCCGCCCTCGCATAAATTCTCCAAAATAGAATTTTTATATGCAATTGATTTTGTTGAAACTTTTATCCCTAGTTAGGTAGTTTTTCCTAAACCCTAATGACTTCGATTTTCTAAACCTAGCAAAAATAATATTATTTACCATTTTTCTTGTGTCACAACCCACAAACTCTTAAAGAGAGATTAGAACACGAAGAACATAGATAGAGAGAAAAACTTTATTATATTGCTCTCATTTGAATGCAGTACTTAAAATGAAAGAAAATAACCTAAGACTAGCTAACTTTATACATAAGTTTATAAGTAGATCTGACGGTTCAAATACGTACATATTTATTGAGATGGATGGCTAAGCTTAAGTTTACAAGCAATAGAATCTTATTCTTATTTTACTACCTTTTTTGTGAAATAATATTCTGGAACCTTCTAGAGATAGTCTCTAGCATATTCTTTGATACTTTTAGGTTAAGTTTGGGTCAAGCTTTTTGAATTGGATATTGGGATTCGTATAGACTTGGGCTTAGGTAACACTAGCCAAAGTCAAAGCTTTTTAAATTATGATTTACAAATTACTTCTCGAATAGAAACCCAGTCAAAATGCTCACAAGGTTTAAACTTTACTAAAATAAAAGTGTATAACCCCAAGGGATTGTTTTGACGGTTAAGAATGTTTGTTCATTTCCTTGAGTTCCTAAGTTAATACCTTGGGGTTACTTATCACAATAATATTGTGACTTACCTGGTCCTTTAGGCTTGTAGGGTATTCAATGGACCCCGATGATTAGTTGAAGTACGTGCAAGCTGGTTCAGACACCCCAGTTATCGAAAAAAAAAAAAAAAAAAAAGTATACATACATAGTATAATGAGTTTGTGAAATTATCCTTATACTTTGTCAACTAACTTATAAAAGAATTCAAGAATGTGAAAGTTACTTAAGAAAGTTACTTATGAAGAGTTTATATAGATTTTTGATTTTATTAATAGAAAAATTATTACTTGCAATAAATTGCATAGTTTTTGTGACTCTTACCGCCTGTATCCGACCAATTAAAATTGCCAACATGAATCACTAGATTGCATGAATTCTACATTACGGAAAAATAAACTATACTAGAAAGTTTAACATGTAGTCAATAAATTTTTTTTTTACTAACTCTTTAATTGGATTAGGCTTTTTTTGAGTTGATTTAGGATTATTTATTTTGTATTTAAGTTGCATTATTTGGAATACTTTCTAACTCTTTATTTGCTTTCCTCTTTCAATAAATTGAATAAAGCTCATTTGGACAAACAATACAAGACTAAGAGAAATAAGTTCCATATGAAAATGTTTAATTTAAACGACATACGTCAATAAATAATTAATGTTAGAATTCTTTAAATGTAGATGAGAGTTATTACTTCTTGTTTTAATACGTTTAAGAGGATTGATTACAATTGTTTTGAAGTAAAAATCAAGATTTCCAAATTAAAAAATGTGGGATTTTTTGATTTTCTAGGACATACGTGAGTTTATAGAGACTATGTGATTTAAATTAGTAGAGGGTTTCGGAGATTTAGTACTGACAGGCAGTGTTTTAAAACACGGCCTCACCTGGTCAGTTGAATTGAGACCTAAGACCTTCATTGGGTCGGGTTAACAATTTTCCTCTTCACTCCAAACCCTATAATTTGGGATGATGATCGATGAACAATTGAAGACTAGAGTGCTGAGGCTTTTGAAGAGGAAGTGTCAGTGAGTGCAATGGTGGCTACGAAACTGATTTTCAGTGAGTTAATCGACTAAAAATCGAAAAAACCGACGGTGGCAATAGCTGGCTTTTGCCATCGATTAGCAAAGTGAACGGGGGTGGGGTGAGATATATTTTGGTCAGGAGGCTGAGGGGAGTATCTTTATGGTGATAGGGGAGAGTTGTCGACACTAGCAATGGTGAGATTTGGCCGAAATCGGTTGATGCTAGCGTTGGTGAGATCTTGCCAAAATCGGCTAATTTTGGCCAGATCTATGATAGATTTTCTAGGAAATGGGCTCAAGGGATAATTGAGATTTCATTTGGTGTGTCCCCATCGCCAACCAGTCGACCATCAATTTATATTTGAGGTGTGTTTGTTAAATTTCAAACATGTCGAGACTTGACTTAATTTTCAAGGGTGTATTTGCTAAATTTTAAACTTTTAAACTTTTTGATACCTAGCTTGACTGGCTTATCAAACCGGTTAAATCGATCAACCTGGGACCCAAAAACTTTGCCGAGTTTCACCTCAGATTGGTTATTAAAACATTGCTAACAGCAACATTAAAAATGGTTAGTAGTGGAGGATTCCATAAGTTGAAAATTCAACCGAAATGAGCAATAATAACAATAATAAAATTGGTTCATCAACAAACATATTGTATGTTCGTCCAAGTTGAGTTGAACCCTTGAAAAATCTAGAAAGAGATACTCAGAAACATTTAGTTATTTAAGTTAGTGAGAGAAAGTGTAGGTGAAAAATAAGTTACTTTATTCAAAGCCAATAATCTATACCATATTTATGAAGGTGGTCACTAAGGTGAAAATTCTTGAAGTAGTACCACGTGTTACAGATTTATTGAACTTTGACAACCGTAAGACTTCATAGTTCACTCTCTCATACAAACACGAGGGTAACAAGAATAAAAGTGGGATAGAGCTTTAGATACATTTATAAATACATTATTTATTAGCATATACTTAAGCCAAAGTTTATCTATACAATCTATCAAGATGAAATTACAATATGATTAAATGAGAACAATTGTAACATTATACAATGATATAGTTGTCTAAGTTGAGATTATTATTAAAGTGAGGAAAGTCTTGCACACCTCTTCCACCTTCCAAGCTTCTCTCTTCCCTGTAGATAACCGAACCCATTAAACGGGTTTCTTCTTTTCAAGAAAACAAGAATATAAAAGGAAATTATACAAGTTATAAAAATAGTAGTATTACACACATCAACTACTCTATACAAATTGTTGAATACAAAATGATGCGACATTTTGTTTTTATTATCCATCCCCATCTATTAACTTTTTACATTCCTTCTTCCATTCATTTTGTAACAAGCCAATTTATGCACAAGAATTTGTATGTCTCGTTTAATATTTTATTCATATCTTAAACACTAAGAAATCACCAAAGAGAAAATGGATGTGAGCATCTCTGTCAAGGTCAAAGTATAGCGGGTCTCAACATGGTTGTAAGGTCTTAATTTCATACAGCATATACTAATACAAAGGCATTGTAGGTGATGTAAGAAAACTTAGCGGCTTTGTTTTGATTTTCTTTTCCTAAAGAGATTACAATAAATCCCTAAGATCTCTAGGTTGTCCTACATCAATTATCCTCACTTAATACTCGAGAAGAAGCTCAAACAATATCAGAACGTGTTCTGATCTTCCTCTGATTTGCTTCTATTTTAGCTTCAGCACCANAACTTTTTACATTCCTTCTTCCATTCATTTTGTAACAAGCCAATTTATGCACAAGAATTTGTATGTCTCGTTTAATATTTTATTCATATCTTAAACACTAAGAAATCACCAAAGAGAAAATGGATGTGAGCATCTCTGTCAAGGTCAAAGTATAGCGGGTCTCAACATGGTTGTAAGGTCTTAATTTCATACAGCATATACTAATACAAAGGCATTGTAGGTGATGTAAGAAAACTTAGCGGCTTTGTTTTGATTTTCTTTTCCTAAAGAGATTACAATAAATCCCTAAGATCTCTAGGTTGTCCTACATCAATTATCCTCACTTAATACTCGAGAAGAAGCTCAAACAATATCAGAACGTGTTCTGATCTTCCTCTGATTTGCTTCTATTTTAGCTTCAGCACCAAAACCTTAAATTTTCCATATATTCTTTCTGGCTTTTCTATTATTCTATATGTCTTCTCAAATTCCCTATATCTCTGCTTGTCTATCAGTAGGGGCCTAAAATTCTAAAAGTCCGGAACTCACGTTATATTAAAGGTGCAACTCTCACTAATTTTCTTCACTGTGTTTTCTCTCTAGAAAATCTACTGTATTTTCTCAACGTCCAAGCAGTCCAGAATTACGAATCATCCACTAGACCTAACAATAGTCATTATTGTTACTCACACATGATATAGATGCACGCAGAGGAACACAGACATGCAAAAATTATTCAACAGTCCATTCCTTGAAGCTGACTCTGTGAGCATAACTATTATAGAGTTTATCCCCTAAATCATGTAAGGGATATTCATTTTTGCAAACTCAAATCACAAAATATAAATTTTGTTTTCACATACTCTCCGAGGTCCTATAGCAAGTTCATTGTCCACAATGGATGTAGCTTGAAAACCAATTGGATATAGTACCTCCTCGTAACTGCAAGAAATTGAATTTAACAAAGAATGTATTTTTACAAGGATATATAAAAATCTTTGCAAATTAGTAAAATTTCATCATTTACTGCAAAACAAGATTTAGAATTAGAAACAACTCTAACAGGATTTAGCCAAAATAAAATCAAGGTAGAGAATTACTCAGATACTGATACTTTGTAAGGAGGTCCACCAACATGATCACTGATCTGCAACCAAATAATTCTAATTTCAGTAGAAGCAATGGAAAGTAATTAGACTAATATCTCTTCTAAAAACTAAAAAGTCTCACTTTAACGTAACTCGAGCTTCCATTTGATTAGAAAAAGTTCTATGTTAAAAAGAAAATGCTTTATTATATTCAAAAAATCAAGGAACTGGTTGAATATCATGTGAGGGTCTAATATTCACTTACAAAGGAAAATTTCAAAAACACAAAAGAAAAGGCAAAATAGACAAAGATGCAAAGATCTTACTGGAAACATTAGTGTTATAAGCTCTCCATCTGGTTTTAAGAAATCGCTAATCTTCTGTGCCCACGCTGATCTCATTTCTGGTTCAATGGCACAAAAGAATCTGCAGTATGAAGAAGAATGTGATCATCAAGACATCATTCTGATGGGGAAACAAACCCATTCTCACACGTACTTACGTATAATCAAAAATGAGATCAAACAACTCAGTTGGGCACCAAGTGAAGAAGTCTGCCTTTAAGACTGTAATGTAATTTGCACTTGGTAGCGAGGAAAACAACTGCCTTAACATTTAGACAAAATTAGACTCAGAATTTTCCAAAAATGAACTAGAACTAAAACAAGGAATCTTAGTTCAAGTGACCATCCTAAACACAAAAAGTTCAAACTTAGATCTTGTCAGTGTGTATGTTAAATGTATCCAAATATTAGTAATACTATTTACTGATCTTCATTGGTTTGTCATCTAGTTTAAAGTGCCAACCAACTCTCTTTAACATTTTAAAGCACTAGTTAAAAATAGCCAACTAAGTCAATCTTTTACAATTGGCCTTGCAAGAACAAGTCAATTAGTAAATTGGTTTTTAGGTCAATTAGAAACTTAATAAACCAATCAACCCACTGTATTGGCAACAATATAGTTTTGTGTGTAAAGTTTAGGGGTGGAAGCAGAGTGATAACAGAATTGATGAAAAGAGTACCGTTGGTTAAAGGATACCTGAAACAGCAATGCTATAACTAAATAAATTTATATGCATTGCTAATTTTATCTATTAACTAAACCAAGAACTAAAAACGATAGATTTTGATACTGGAACTAGAATATGTTGTAACCCAGATGGTTCTGCAAGGCATTCCATCAAGTTGATAAATTTACCCAAAAAAAGTGAAAATCATGAGCAAATGACATAATCATGCTAAAATGTGCATGTGAGGAAAGTGAAAGGAAATTGTAAAATACATATTCGAAATGACCTCTAATTCGAAAGGATATTGAACCTAACCAAAATTGAGCAAGCCTGCAGAATGTTGTTACCTCTTTGGCCTTGTTAATGGCAATATCAGATATTTCCAACCCCACAACATGTCGCTCAGGAGAAGCCATTGCCACCAGATCATAACCCTGCAATATTTGAATAGTCTGTTGTAGGCTTAAAGGACACCAAAAAGCTAGCGCAGCTAAACTAAAGTAGTACTATTGCAAACAAAGAGGATGTAGCCTGGGTTATGGGATGCCACTGCCTCGAATGACAAAAGTTTTCAGTACATATTGCATTTCTGTTACTCCCAAATATATCTTACATCATAAACTGAAACGATGTGCATAAACCAACTGATTATTTCAATGAATAGAGTAGTTGAATATAAATAATTCAGTTCGTTCCAGATATCAATTTGGAACTCAATTTAGTGTAAACAAAACAGTAAGGGTTGTTTCACTACAGTCAGTTATTTTTTCATTCTATCCTCTTGCTAGGCAACATATTTTTCATCATCTGTCTCATGTCCTTTTCAACATGGGACAAAAAGCACAAGGGAAATTTGAGAGAAGACTGAACAACATATAACACACACGAAATTTTAATATAACTATATCACTTAACAACTATGCACAAATATACCACTTACAGTGCCACAACCAGGGACTAGAGCCCTGCCCTTCGGCAGGGCTCCCAATTGACGTAGGTGCACAACAACAGGTGTAGGTTTTCCTAAATCCCATGGAGTCGCTCCCTCCTCCCAACATTTTTCCCAACCACCTGGTAAGTTGAAGACATGATGCATCAACATTCCACAACAAAAAGCCATCAAGAGAAATCCCAAAACCTATCCCATTTCCATCAGTTCAATGCATTGGTTTTATGTAAACTAAAATGGTTCTACCACACTTGATTAAACACACACGACATCAGTGTATGCATGTGAATGCAGGATATCAAAAGTTCACCATGCCCACACAAGTCAAATAGAACTGGGTTGAATCACCTTTTCCTAAATTGCTTTTTGAAGCCATATTACCAATGCAGATTGTCTCCTTCCAGTTATACTAAGATTACATAAACTAAATTTTCAAAATTGACAAAGCCACAAAAACGAAAGAGAAATTTAGAAAAATAGTAATAAAAATTAATGGAACTCTAATTCTGCACCCAAAAATAACCTTAAAACTAAAAAATTCCTGCTCAGTCCGTTCATCAGAACTGCTGTAAATTAAAGGGAAAGCTGGAACAAGTAGAGGCAATTTCTAAATTATGAAACTTTATGAGAAAATTAAAGTGGGTTCATTAACTATCAAACCCATCAATAGCATAACATCGAAAATGAAAATAAAAGAGAAAAATTGAAGATGAGAATGAAAGTGGGTTGTACTTGTATCTGAAGAAGAGTGGTGATGTATGAGTTGTTGGATTTTATTCACACGGGGGTTAGTTTGTATGTTATTCTTCTCATCTTCTTTGTTGTTTCCCATCTTGGGTTTGGTCCCGCGTATTCCAAAGCTCCTAGTTCTAACGCCGGTGGTGGCGAGTAGTGGCGGAAGCTTTGAGGCTGAGCAGAAATGTGAAGAGTTGGACAGTAAGCCACGACAGAGAGGGCGCATAACATTCATCTTTAGTATCTATCTTTTATCCCACATCACTACAACGGTTAATTTAATCTATATTACATATAAATTATTCTTTCTTTGAATGAGAAATTTCCTATAACAAATTCAAATTCCAAAAATGTATATTTTTGTTTAATATGATGAGAAAAAACAGCTTTTAATAAAAAAATATGAAAACTATTCATGCTAATTTTAGCATCTTAAGCAGTAAAAACAGATATTTTCTTTTTAAAAAATATAAGTTAAGTTCCTTGTTTTAAAATCCGATCCATTGTGAAATACGGTAAGGTGATCGGGTCACGAGTCAACTGGTCCAATCAGTTGGACCGGTGATGTCAACAATAGATTTGTTTTTAAAAAAAATTTTAGTCATTTAAATCTTAATATATTACAAAAATACACCTAACAAATTTCAAATTAATCACTAAAATATTTATTTATTTAAAAGATGTCAAAAAAATAACCAATTAATCCTTAAAGTTTTGACATATTTCAAAAACACACCAAAAAATTCAATGAGTGCCTATAAATTTGAAATATAACAAAAACCCCTTTAAAACCTGAACTGGACCGAAGAGGCTGCCAGGTCCTGGTTAGATTGATGAAGCTAACTTAGGTTATATGATTTAATGAGGTCTAAACTAATGAAGCTTTATATGCATTTATAAATTTGGGTTGTTAATAGATATTGAATATGTTAAAAAAAAATTAAAATTAAAATTAAAATAATAATTTAATAAATGTTTTTTAAGAAATTAAAAAAGAGGTTGAATGTCACCGGTTTACAACCATGAACAATGCATCAACCAATGCCAGTTAATTTATAAATGTTGTCAGTATTTCGGTTGCCAAATAACATTTACTCTAATAGAATAAAAAATAAAATTGTCAATGACCTTCAAAATTTGCCTCCCTTATCTTGTACCCAAAAATCTTTATAAATTTCATTTTTTATTTTAGTTTTATAAATAAGAAATTTGTCCCAAATCTTTCTTTTATTTCTGCCATCTGGAAATACTAGTAGATATGATAATTAATACCTAATATTAAAAGAAAAAAACCAATAATAAACTTGTGAAAAAAAATTGTAAATCTAACATTATTGTAAATTAAATCAATGACCATATAAACCCATAAATGGAGTCATAATATGCATTCATTTTCACAAGACAAACTAAAACCAAGCTAGCCATGCCTAAACTTCCTCAAGAAATAATTGAAGATATACTTTCCAGGCTACCAGTGAAGAATTTGGTGCAGCTCAAGTGTGGATGCAAGGCCTGGTTTGCATTAATCTCTGACCCTCAATTTGCCAAACTGCAGCTCAAAAAAGCAAAAGAAACGACTAACCTGCAAAAAATATTTTTCGCGAATTGCCCCCTTCAGACCATTGATGTTGATGTTGAGGTGTTTGGTGATGTTGATAGTGATTGGGTATCGAAGCAGGTTGGTTATCCTGAAAATTGGGCATATACTGGAGGATCTTGTAATGGTTTGGTATTTTTAGTTAGTTTTTCTAACGATTTACTTGTGTTACTAGTCAGGATTCAGTCTTTTACGGACTTGGTTACGATGTCCTCATCGACGATTACAAAGTAGTGAGAGGTGTTATCTCTGCAGCTAGTAGTGGTTCCAGTTCCAGAGAAGCTAAAGTTGAGGTTCTTGAACTGAAAACCAATACCTGGAGAAGGATTCAGTATCCACACTTGAGTTTCAACATTGATGGACCAGGAGTTTTTTCGAACGACCATTTGCATTGGCTAGGGATACGAGATGGAGAAAGTGATTGGATATATGTGCCTGTGATAATTTCATTTGATCTCATAGAAGAACGGTTCAAAATGTTTGCGCCTGTGCAGGAATATAATATAGACAGTCTGGGTTTGGGAAATTTGGGAGACAACCTAGTCATACTTTGTGAACGTGAAGGAACTTTTTATGAGGTCTGGGAAATGAAAAAAAATGGAGCGGAGGAATCATGGACTAGATTGTTTAGTGTCTCAATTGAAATTTTTCCTTACTCTGAATTTGATGTCACTCTAGTAGGCTTCAAAAAGGATGGAAAATTATTACTGGATTTTGATGGAAGGGAATTAGTTGTGTACAACACAAAAGAAGAGACCTTAAGAAATTTCCTAATTGATGATGATTGGGATCATTTTGCAGCAGTCATATATGAAGAGAGTCTAATTTCACCAAATGTTGCTGTTCATGATGAAGCAATCAGGCTAAATCAAGCAGAGGATGTAGAAGAGAAGGGGGAAGATTCCAGTGAAGAGGTAAGGAAAACTATATATAATACTTGCATATTTATTTACTTTTCCTTTCTATAAAGGTTTCCTCATTGTTTTTCAATGTCTTATCATATAGGTTCAGCTCAAGAAAAAAGGTAAGAAGCTTGAATAATACACGTTGAAGGTACCTCGAAATGCAGCAAGTTTTGGAAGAAGATAATGTTAATCACATCTCATGTACCTGAACTTTCCATGGTTCTTAATTTTCTTTTTCGGATTGAAATGGATTACTGATTCCAGGAGAACTGCAGAACTTCAAATAGCCAGAATTTCTGAAATTAAACTGGAGACTTACATCAGCATTGGTCTTTTTCTAGTCAATGACAGTGCACTTATCCAGCCATACCTGTTTGAGGTTTCCCTAGTCCATTACCAATGAAAGGAGACTTGTTTCAGTCACCCGCTTCGTTTCTTAATAGTTCTATATATATCTCTGTATACATCTGTAGTTCCTACTGGGATGAGCATAACTGTGCTTTAAGTTGAAAATGCTGTTCTTGCAAACACCGTGCAAACAATGTCAATGGATATTCTGGAAAGGAGTACTTCGTATGATCTGACTAATACAGAAATGCTAGATAAACATAATTACATAATTTTACTGCCAATCTCAGTGATCCAATTGAGGGTAAAGCTAGCAAAATACGGTAGTATTGATTAAAAGATACTAAAATCTGGAGCAACTGAAGCTCATTAGATTGCAAACTACCAACTCTAATGCCAGTTTCATGCTTTCATCTTTGTAAACAACTCGTTAGTGGTTCAGTGCCACACTTTTTTTACTGGCACTAGCAAATTCCCATTTCTCTTCATGGTAATTCTTCTCTTCCCTCAGAACTTACGCTATCCAAGATATCTTAAATAATTTCATAAAGAAACAATCAGAGTTTAAAAATACAAATTATCAGGGGAGAGAGAGAGAAAGAACATAAGTCTATGTCTGCTAAAATTTTCCATAATTTATTGTTCTTAAAATTTGGAGCGAGTAGGTAATAACTTGGAGGAAGCTCCTCGGTGGAATCTTTACAAGTTGGTAAATGGGAATTTATATATTTCAATTTGCAATTCCCTATGATTGGATTTACTGAATAAACAATAAATTTGTATGAAGTACACTTCACAATGCCGTCTATGAATATTTTATGATTTTTATCCTGACCTAGAGTCAACTTCATTTGAGTAAACTAATTGCACTAGTTGTAACTGATATTAAATCTTATTCATCTTCTATGACTATAATCAACAAACTTCCAAGAGAAGTATATAAAATTATGCATGCACTGATCAATTCAAACATTACCAACTAGTCAGCCTAAAACTAAAACATATAAAAACAATAGCTGCTTACAAAGCAAGCACATTTCAAGGTATAAATTAAATCAACCTACTGAGTCTGTCATATTAATCTCATTAGCTGTTTTATACTTCCCATTTACCTGAGCAAACACAAAATCAAGCAGAAGAGCCATGCCAAAACTTCCTCGAGACATAATTGCAGATATACTCTCAAGGGTACCAATAAAGTGTTTGATGCAGTTCAAGTGTGTATGCAAGGACTGGTATGCATTAGTCTCTGACCCTCAATTTGCCAAAATGCAGCTCAAACAAGCAAGGGCAGACATCACAACTAACGTGCATAGACTATTCCTCACAACTTGCCCTCTTCAGACCATTGATTATGAAGCGTTTGGTGATGGTGATAGCAGTAATCTATCACGGCAGCTCGCTTATCCAACGAGAAGTAATCCTGTATATGATGCAGAGATTCTAGGATCCTGTAACGGGTTGGTATTTTTAGAGTTTGATTATGACAACTTATTTTTGTTGAATCCAACCACTAGAGATTCCAGAGAATTGCCANTCCCTTCATGCATTGTCGCTTTCTTCTTCTTAAAGATCCCACCTCCAAATGTATAAATCATTATCTCGATAAGAAGAGGAAATTGAAATGAAGCATAGAGAGCGATCGGAATTAAAGAAAGAACAATAACCGGAATGCCAACCCAATGCAATCGTTTTTCAAGAACCAGAGAAATGGCAGCGCCAAAGCATGCCATCATCGTTACAATAGAAAAGAAGAGAGTGAAAAGACCAACTATCAATTTCGTAGGCAACGATTTGCGAAAATCTTTTTCTGCGTAGCGAGAAGTGAGGATTCCCAAGAACACTAACACAGAAGTGGAAGAAGAAAACAACGAAAATGCATTTGAAATGACAAAGATCAAGAATGCGTTGCGGTTCAAGAAGATTGGGGTTCCTTCTCTCTCATCGTTGCCGCCGGGAACTGTAAAAGCTGATGTGAACATGACTGCTGCAATTAGAGTTGCCACAACCATACATGAAGCTGCAGTGTTCTTCATCCATCTCTCTCCTTCGTTTACTAATTCTGCATGTGCCTCGGTGAACAATTCGCCTGGTGTTTTGTTGTTTTCGTTCACTTCTTCCATGTATTTTGGTGGTAAAATCCTACTCACTTCCTGAAAATAAATACAAATTTAATGAAGATTTTGAAATTAAAGTTTCTAATATATACCAAGAATTTTTCAAACTTTACATACATTGTGTCTACCTCTCCTGCAGACCTATTTAGATGGCACCGATAAATATTAAAAGATATAACTTTTCTCGTATTGAAATTAAAAATTTTGTCTTTGTGCTTACCGACGCCACCTTCTGAGAGTTAAAATGTTCATACTAGAGAATATTAGTGTACAGATATAGTTACTCTATCCTGAATGGTCGAATTTTTTTAAAATCTGAACCAATATTCCTCATATTAAAAATTGGAATGTTTTATCTTTTCACATCCAACCAATGTCAAGAAACAGGATTTCAGATATAAAGAAAATGAAAGAATTTTCGCGTATATATATGCTTACCTCAAACCATTCTAATTCTCTTTGCATTTGGAGAGCCGCACCAGAGATTCGGTCAAGTTGAGAGTGAGGGGATAACTTCGCAGCTAAATGAAGGAAATTGTTGCGAAATATATCATGTCGAATAACTGCTATACGCATCTTTGCGCCTAAATTATAGACATGGCTGAAAATCTTTTCTTGGCGTTGCACAATTGCATGTGCAAAGATTGTTCTTCCCTTTTTATCTTTCCTCCATATGATTTCAGGTGTAGATTCAATCACTTCATCCACGAACTCAACTATTCCATTCTTTATAGCATCGTATATTGCTTCATCCCATCCAATTTTCTCAAGTTGATCCTTGCTTAAATATGGTATGTGCTGAAATACACACTTCAGAATTTTTATGGCTTCAATATGTTTGAACTTCTTCTCATATAGGTGACTTAAATCAGGGACTGCAATTCATGAAAATACAAAAATAATTAAAAAGGCAATAATATGAATGAATTCGACAGCTTAACATAGTATCAAAACCATATGATTTAAGTTCAAATACTCGAATTTCAACTAGATAAAAAATAAATTTCAAGTTTCACTGAAGAAGCTTGAACTAAGCTTTTAATTAAAGTGGGAACTTATCACGTACGTACCAATTCATGTCAATATGTTCCAAACAACCCCTCGTATCTTATTGAGCAGCACTATATAGCAAAAGATTATCTTTTTGTTATAAGGAGTGAAATAAATGTGTAACTATATATGAAAGTTTATAATGATTGAATGGATTTTACCTTGTTGAATATTCAATTCCAATTGAATCCTTACATTGCTTTCCTCATCGCTTGATTGTGAATATCCATCGTCATACTGAGGGACAGTTACCCTTATACCTTGCACCAAGAGAAGTTAAAGCATCTCAATATACAATTGAATTTAAAAATGAAGGAAATTAAGAAGTACAGTTGTACTTACATGAGTAAATCCATTGTTTCCAAAAAACATATCTGTTTCCACTCGGAAAAGCAGAACGTTTATGAGTCAATAATCTAATCGCATAGTTTCTATGAAGATCTTCCACAAAAGCCAGTAGTGGGTATTTTTCCAATAGATGTAAAGCCACATCTGCAACACAGCAATCAAATCGGAATAATGTACGACAATAACGGAATAGCAATATTATGTCGGTTTATACATGTAGAATCTATCTGTATACCAAAGGGCTAGCTGCATTAATAAATAATAACTATAAACGAACTCACCATAAAGCTCATCAGTGATGAGACAATTGAGAAGAGTGGCGCCACTCCTATCGGGATGTTCTGGACTCAGCGTTATATGTGGAGTCCTCGTGTAAAGATAACGTACCATCTCTTTGGAGCTATAAAACGACGCCGCAACAATTGGAATTAGGTGATGACCATCCTTAAGGTTAACCAAATTACTATCCTTTTCTAGCATAATCTCTACCATATCTTTGAATCCATTGATGGCAGCAATGGAGAAAGCTGTGTATCCCATCTCATTTGTGTCTTCCAAGTCTTCTTTTCTCGCATTTTCCAACAAATTCTTCAGAATCTCAGTTTGTTCAGCCATAACCGCAACATGAAAAACAGTGTCACCGTTCAGTGTAATCTTTTCCCTTAAAGCATTAGTTTTTTTCTCAAGGAAAGTTCTTGTAGCTTGCCAATCACCTCTTTCCACAGCCTTGGATAAGTCACGATACTCTGAGAGACTTAATTTTTCTGCGAATTATAAGACACAAATTTTCGTATTTTAGCAGTTACATGATTCGAGATTTAAAAAAAAAAAACCATCAGAATATTTGCAACTACACTATAGTAAAAGATTGAGAATTACCTTCTTCTTGGATCTCAAATTTTCCATTTGGTGGTTTTATTCTATCTTTTTTAGCCAAAAGATTCCACTCATACTCGGCGGATTCATTTCCCCTGAGCTTTGACATCGTATCTCCTTTACATGAAATTTGGATTGCATGTAACGCCATTGCATTTTTTCTAACCCAATCCTTATAGTTGGCTTCAGATTCCTTTGGTTTTTTATACTCTCCATTTACAACATCCCAAAGATCATTAGCTATAAAATAGCTCTTCAAACATTCCTTCCAATTCTCATAGTTTTCTTCAGTAAGTTTTTCGGTTGCAATGCCGGAAAATCCGGCCATGATGGCTTCTCCTGAAAAATTAAACAATACATTTAAAGAGAATTATAATTGTTACATGAACCAGAAACATATTGAATTTCAAGATAAATAAACATACTTGAACTTGCACAAACTAGTGTAGAGTAAGATGTTTATGATATATAATGTATGTAAATAGACTGTTAAAGGTAGCCATATTAATAGCACTCAAGCTTATCACCATTCTCAAGTTATTCTTCTACTTCGTTTTTTGGAACATTCTTTTTCTGTATAAACAATGCTTTAGTGTGAATTCTGTTTCCACGTGATTCAACATCTTGATTCTTAGAGTGAGTGAGTGGGTTTATACGTTTAAAAATGGTACTTATACACTAAATGTATAAAATCTCTCTATAGTGATACTCTATATAAAAATGATTTTCATGTAGTCATAAGAAATTTAAAATTTTGTTCTTAATTTGAAGTCGTTATAAATAAGAATAAATTTCACATTATAATAAGTTATAATTTTTCTAGGTCTCGTCTTAAGAAACTTGTCTTTACATGGTAATAATTATATATATATTAGAAAAAAAATTATGTTACATTACATTAAAGGTTTAAGATGAAATAAAATATTTATCTAAAGTTGTTTAAACAATGATTTATACTTTAATTATTTAAAGTTGTTACCACATCTTTTATCTTACAGGTATGTAATAAGTCATCAGCATAGACATCTTTTTATTGAAGCCAAAATATTTCCAGCTTCTCAAGCATATTTAGAGTTTCTTGGTACGAAACTTTTGGTATTTTCATACTATCATCCTCGGGATTATCTCCTTCCTCTACTTGTTTAATTCCAATAATGATTTTTTCTTTAATTAAAACATACACGATTTGTTATTTATTTTGATAATTGAGGAAAACATTAATATCTATTTGATTAGTGTAGTGAAATTGTCAAATCCGATCACTCAATTCTATAATGACTCTTTGATATCTATTTCCTTACTATCATAATACTATTAAAACAATGAATTAAAATCATAATACTAATAAAACAGGAATTGAAATCTCAATATTACCAAAACATAAATTATAAAATAAGAAATCAAAACAATAATTCTTATAAATATACTTCTATTGAATTATAATCTCATCATAGCAATAAATTTAGTTTGTCCTACCATTATAACTATAAAGATGATGTACTCTATCATATTCATTTCTTCTACTCTTAAACTTCTTTTTTCTTCTTTTCCTCCTCCTTGCTTTTTTTCTTTTTCGTCGCAGTTTAATTCTAGATAAAAACAAAATTCCTTTTCTTAATCAACAGAAAAGAAAGTTGGAATAAAGTGTTAAGTGTCCCATAAGTGATTCATTCAGTCTTAAATGGTTGTACTTTAATTTACTCACACTTTTCATTATTTCTATATATCTTTTCATCATTTTAATTTCTAATCTTAATTGGATTATTATTTTCTTCTTTGTCAAGTAAGGAACTGTTATCATGCTTTTAATTAGCTTTTGTACCATTTAAGTGATTCATTACAGTCCTACTTTATCTTTCTCTTTTGTTTTATAATCAATCTTTCATTATATAAATACTTTAGATGTTACATATGGAATATTTAAGTTAAAAAGACTAAAATACCCACCGATTAATTTTTACAAAATAAATTATAATTTTAGATTATTATAATTAAAAAAATCCACAAAATTAAAAAAAAAAAAAAATACTCAAGTTGGGTGGCCAACCGCCGGGGGAGTTTATTAAAAAGACATTTGAAGTTTACATTTAATTAAAAGGCTATCAGTTTTAAAATGTTAACTAAATAGGCANGTCCTTTTGGACAGGAAATCAAAACAAGAAATGAGAGAACAAATTTCACTTGTTTCATTTACCTCCATGGTAACTCTTCTGTTACAAGTGTCCAAGATATCTTAAATAATTATACCAAGAAACTAAACGAACAATCAGAGTTTGAAATGATAAATTATGAAAAGAGAAAGAGGCTTTGGTGTAGGGAGCGAGAGAACTGATGTCTATGCCATAAAGTTGGTTCTATTGCTATAAAATGTTACCTCCCAAATGAAAATGTATACACAGGATATATACTTAGCACATAAGTTAAATATATAAATTAAAGTTTAAACAAAACAACATAGATTATAATGCTAAAGAAATAACACAAACTTTCCATCAATCAGAATCTTCGGTTGTCCCACAAAAAGTTATTCATACTTCATAAAGCATATAATCTCAAGCCATTACTATGATTAAAAAGCAAGTTTCATTTGACTCTTCTAATTTTATGAGGCCACCAAATTTGTTTGACTTTCACCTTGTGTGTTTGGTCAAGGATGAGGGTGCCTGAATACAGGTTTCATTTTCATGGAGTTTCAGATTTTTTTAGGGGACATAGGCAGTTCAAGACTAATTATCATCATGAAAAAAACAACAATGAAAAAAAATTAAATTAATATGCATATGAAGGCAGAGATTTTATTTTTCCAAAGGACCATAGCTAAGTTGATGAAAATTTGTGCTAGACGCTATTTGACAAGGGGCAAGCAAACAGGTCGTGATACAGTACCATGATGCATAAAAAACCAACTGTATGCAAAATAATCCTGCACACTTTTGTGCTCTCCAGTCATATACAAAATGAACCAAACATGAGCTAACTGGGAAATAGAGTTATCCTTGTAAATAGTAAAGTCCTGACCCACGTACCAAACATGCAATCCTAAGCGTACAACAAAGGAGTCATAGTTCTTTTTCTACTTTGAAGAACAAATTATAAAGTCCAGATTGCTGCTTCATATTTGAAACCTTGCAGAGCTAGTCCCATAGGCCCTTCACTCAACTAAACTTAATAAGACTACTACACATGGTGTTTTTCTTCTTATATAAAATGATATCAAGTCAATTCAAAATATAAAAATATAAATTCTCTCTCTTATACTTCTTTGTGTTATCCAAACTCATCAACAAAGTATACAAAAGTTAGAAAACCAGAAGAGAACAAATGACTAGCAAAAGACACCGAGCCAGGACGATAGTGCTCTTAACCTCCTAGGAATAGGGTTTCACAAAAGAACAAGTGAATTGAAGGAAAAGATCTGAGAGAAAACAGAGTAAGTTTATACAGTTTCGAAGGAAATTGATATTTAAACTAAATTCTATTAGATCTGCCTAAAACCCAGAAGTGTTATAATTTTATGGCAGAGAAGTGTACAATCTCTGGAGATCTTTCAACTGCATCATCCAGAAACAAAGAAAACAAACCAAAGATTCATCATGACACTACCTATAATGGTAAACTTTTCATTTCTTGGTGAAGAGAAACAAAAATAGAACAGAATAATTAAAATTAACATTCCAAGGAGACAGAGGCCTCATCTTTATGAAAATTGATTTGCAACAATAGTCAGTTTGAAAAGATGATATCCAAAACCATAATTTCCATACTTCAATTATAACGAGTTGAACAAAAAGCCAAGGCTGATTTAGATACTCCATTAATGAATGAGAAATACAATCAAGTATTGCATCACTGCAAGGCATGATTTGAACGTAAGACACCACTCAATCCCAACCTCAGCGGCATGAATTTCATTTACACTCATTTATCACAGTAGAACAGTGACACACCTTAAAATTTGGGTTATGGTAAAACAATTACATGAATCACAGGAATCACGGGAATGGTGAATCTGAAACTAATTTTCCATTGCTCTCCTTTAGAGTTAGAAAGGGCCTTCAAAGATGAGGGATGAGTATAGTTCTATTTATTATTGTTTCCTGAAAACCAAAGCTACTCTCCTATCTAATAGTGCTAGAGAGAATTGTACTATGCATAGTAAAAAATAAATTAAAATATGGTTCTTTTCTTTTTTTCTTATTACTTGTTTCACTGTTACATGCATTTTGGCTATTTATTTCCTTTGTATCAATCACATAGCAACAGATTTAATGAAAAGGTTACAGAGAGATACACAAATGCATCACAATACATTTGAAATGGGCTTAATATTATATTCAACAAATATAGTTACAACAACAATTGAAATAAAGAAATCTATATATATCCCTTATTAACTAAAATCTGAACTACACAGATGAGTATACATAAATCTAATAATTTAGAGTACAATAAAATGCAATTAACAATTCTGACCTTTACAGTTCTTCAAACCACTGCAAACACTCCTGCACAACTGACCATTATTTCAGCTAATCAAGCAGGTGAAAGTGTTGCAGAAAGAAAATCATCCATCAACAATGAATTGATCATCTTGATTATCTCCATCAACCCTAGTGTCTCCATGAACCATTCCATTCACATGGTGCAAATTCTGCATCATTTGTGAAAGGTAATGACTGCTAGCACCAGTATGGTCAGAGAGCCCTGTTGGATGACCAGTCCACTGGGAAACAATCCCGAGCAACTGGCTAGTAACGCTTTGTTGTTCATGAAGAATGCGGGCCTGCATCTGACCCATTTCTGCCCGGTGCTGACTCAACATTTCATCAATTCTCTTCTTCCATTCAGACCTCCTCCTATTAATCCTATCTTCCCACTCGCTATCCTGAATCAATTCTTCATCTCTTCTTCTCCTTTCCCTCTCTTCACTCTCCTTCTCTATAGCTTCCCATTCCCGGATCCTCTGCCTCCTCAACTTCTCCCTAGTCTTCTCTCTCTCTTCCCTCTCCTTCTCCCTCTCTTCCAACTTCCGTTCCCATTCTTGCTCAAGCTTTATCCGAAAATTTTCCCTCCTCTGCCTCTCACGCTCTCTTTCTGCCTCACGATGCTCAAATCGAACCTCCATATCCCTCAACTGCCCTAATTGGTTTGCAAGAAACCCCAATGTCTTCTTCTCCAAGGCCTTCAACAACTTCCTCTTCTTATTTAAATTAGACCCATTGGCCTCAACTTCTTCAAACACAAACCCATTATCCCCATCCTCTCTCACCCTTTCACTATTACCATGAAAATTCTCTTCCGCCTCATCACCATCATACTCAAAACCCAAACCCATCACCCCATTCTCTCCCGCATCAATGCCTGCAAAATCCCCATCTCCTGAATGACCCATTTGCCCAAACTCCACAATATCCATCCCATTACCTACCCCCACAAACCCCCCGCCATTCTCCCGG